TGCTCTAGTCTCCTACTCCGTCGTGAGTGCTGTTCCTTCAGCAATGGGGAGTATGTAAAAGCTGGCTTAGCTGACCTGGAGTTGTGGTGTGCTCAAGCAAAACCCGAGGTAACGGGTTAACTTTTATTCTTGAGAACTAGAAAATTTGTAGTCTCTATGGACAATTTTTTTAAGATTAAAATTGTGTCTGATGTTTACTTTTTTTACAGTATGCTGGTACGGCCTGGGAAGAACTGAAGCACATAAGACAAGCCGTTGGATTCTTGGTAAGAAACTCTCTATTCTAATGATTTGTAAACTTGATCTAGTTAAATAACCAAAATTTTATTTTGGTGGCTTATTAAGTTATTCATGCCAAACTAGTCTTTTTAAACTATTTTATTGTGCATAATTCTTAATGATTATGCCTTATCCCAAGGTGTAGATTTTGTGATGTAAGATGAGATAAGAAGCGTTGTTATGAAGTTTTAAAATGTAAATCGTCATTATTCTTTTCTGTTAAACCAACTACTGTTGTGACTAATTACTAGTCGAAGCTTAGCAAAGAGATGAAAACTTGATGAAAGTTATATTTTGCCTTTTAACGAAATTGAGTGTAGCAAATTAAGAGAGGAAATAACGTGCAGAGTTGAAAAAAGAACAATGATAATGTTAGAGTAGCTTTATGGTACAAATTTAACTAGCCTGAAATTTGTAATGATGAGATCAAAGATAATCTCCATGAACAATTCTTTACTTTGAATGTTGACTCCTTCCCAGTAAGCCCTCCAAGGTAAGCACGCTTACACTCCTAGGTGTTTCTCACTTGAAGGTGAAAGAATTTCAGTATTTAGCAAAATCTTTCATTCATCAACAACCACCTACATAAGCCATCACATTGGGCATTTATCACAAGAGTAAGGAGACCAAGTGGGTGGCTGGGCAATGGCTTGGGTAAGGAGATTGGAATATCTGTTTTCTAAGAAGATGCTTAAAGCATAATTAACTTTTTATGTTTTCCAAGGGAAGGAGAGGATCAGTGGTTACTGATTTGGCTTGAAGGAGGAATTTAGGTTGGTTTAGATTATGATAAATGCATAACATATAAAAAGCCCATACAATACATAAAGTTCTCGACATACAAATGTCACTAAAAAAAATACATGACAAAGACCCTCGGATACATCAAATGAACAATCTAATGATTACAATGGGGATGGCAATGGTAATACATCAACTTTTCCCAGCATCAAAGGATTCATCTTGCCCTTGATTTTCTTGAAGCAAATCGGGAGAAAGTTTTTGAAGCTTCCTCAAGTGTCAACCATGAATCATCCAGTAGTGAACGACCCTTAAAGTGAAAAGGTATTGCTAGACTCCATTATTTGCATTAGAAATGATCTAATCGTTTGAGATCTGATAAACATGTTGAGACCTTTAATGATGAGTCAGCAAGGGCACTACCTGCATGTCAGTAGTCTTAACTACAAGAAAATATATTGATGAATATCAACATAGGATCTTAAATGATGATAATTAAGCCACAATCACTTTGCTAGCAATCATGAATTGATGAAAGAAACATATTATCATAGATGTTGTTCTTATTAAGGATCATCACTCCTCAATCCACCTGTCGCCATTGAGGAATAATGTACTAAGATATTTGCCAATGCTCTTGGACCTCACTATTTTCCGAACTTTATAGCAAATTGAATCTAGCTGATATATATGTTCTAGCTTTAAGGACAGTAATTGCACAGGCAAATATCCATATTGAAAATTTAGCTGTATTTATTTATATGTTTATTTGATTGTTATCTGCTTCTCAATTATAAATAAATGGGCTTAACATATTGAATAGACCTAGCAAATATTTCCTCTCTAACATTTGATGTTCTCAATTCTCGAATTAGAAACCTAATTCAGGAGTACTTAAAGATAAAAAAATTCTAATTCATATTGATGATATCAAATTTGGAACTTAATTTCTATTTTATTGTGAACTTTTTTTGTGCAAGACTCCTTTTTTTGAAGAAAATTTTCAACTTCAAATTTGAAACCATAATATTTGAGGAATTGATTAGTGAATGAAGAGAGATCAAAGCGTATATTGTTAATTTTAAGAGGATTAAAAAAAAATCCAAAGTAGACTTAGACTTCGTTTGGGACGGCATTCTTATTGCTTTTTAAAGTAGTTTTTTAGTACAAAAGTTAAAAATTTTGTACTAGAAAATTGCTTTAAGAAGCAGGAAGAAAGCTGTCCCAAACGAAGCCTTAATCTACTATATGATTCAGAAATTCAAATGCACTCACGTTAACCTCTTGTCCTTGTAGTATTGTGTGAAGAAATTACTACAGATGCTATTATCTAGGTATTGAAACAGTAAATCTCATATGCCCAATCTTCACTTCATCACCAGAACATCTTAAGATTTTTGCAACATTCCTTTATTTTGCATATAATTGTTGGTTTGCTTGCGTGGAAATTGAATCTTACTTAATACTAACAAGTGCTGAGAGCAAATTAAAAAAAAAAAAAAAAAGTGCTTGGAGCAAATTCTTCAAGTACTATAAAAAATTATTATTTTTACCTCTTCTCTTCTATTAAGTAAATTTAAGAAATGAATGGTTTATGGCATGTAACCGCAAGCTTTTTCCGTTTAACTCATTACACTTGAAACTCTTCTGCTGTCGTGCAGGTGATATTTCAGAAGTACAGAATTTCCTATGATGACATAGTCAATGATCTATGCCCGGTATTATTACCTTTTTCTACTCTTGCATCATGCAATTAGAAATAAGTATTGTTATTTATAAGTATTCTGTTACATATTTGTACTTTGTTATTCTCTGCAGGTTTTAAGCGTTCAACAGCTTTATAGAATATGTACACAGTATTGGGATGATAAATATAACACCCAGAGTGTTTCTTCAAGTGTAAGTGTTATAATATAATGCATATTAATTTTGCTAGAAATTCAGTTTTGCCTGGCATTTTTGGTTTGTTTTTCAAATCATATTTTATTCAGGCATTTTAACTATTTTCTTTTTATAAAATTGTTATTAACATCTGGTGGATCAGTAATTATGCAACCCCCATAGATTTCTTGAGTTTAGTTATTGTACCTCCTATAGTTTATAATACTTATAATATTTAATCTCTCTAATTATAGTTATTGAGCGTGCCAATTTATTTATCATAAAACTTGAGCCCGAATCTTTTATTTATTTTATATGGGAAGCATAGAGCATTTTATAATTTTTTAAAGGGGATTTAAATAGATGCCACTCACTAGTTACGTATTTATATATCTAACACCTAAAATCTCTTATTTACATGAATGTTGATAATGTATGTATCGACACACCCATTAGGCTGTAATAGTTGGTATAATTTTTATGATTAATATGAATTCCTCTATGCTCAAATTTCAGGTTCTCTCCAGCATGAGGATTTTGATGACAGAGGATTCAAATACAGCAGTAAGCAATTCATTCTTGCTGGATGATAATTCCAGGTAAAAAATCGAAGCTTTTAAATCCCAATTCATAGTGATTAATTATTCTGTGCGAACGCCGAATGCCGTCCGGAGATCAACCAAAATGCATAACATCACCCCCTCACTCGGTACTGCTCGGTATCGTTGACATGGTGTATTATGATTGGTCTTTGGATAGCGTTCTGCATCCGATTTCCGCACAGAATAATTTCTCTTGTCTGCTATACTCTGAATACTTTAATGAACCTTGATAATCCCTGCTTCAGTATACCCTTCTCCGTCGATGACATATCAAGTTCCTTACAAGAAAAGGACTTTGTAGATGTTAAACCAGCAGAAGAGCTTCTTCAGAATCCAGCCTTCCATTTTTTACAGGACTGAGCGCCTCTGAGAATGCTCCCCTTTTTGTTCCCAGAAATCATACACAGCAATCTCCAGGCTATGTATATCCACCCATTTTTCGGTATATTGTTATATTTGTTCCCCGTTTTAAATTTAAATATCTGTTTATTCTTCTCATTTTTTTATGCCCATTCGACGCCAGAAATGTAAAATTATTCTTTGTTGTCTGTATAATTCTTTTTGAGACCACTATAGGCCTTGTTTTATCTTCCCAGGTATTTGGTTTTGTCAAGTTGTAAGCAGTTAAAAAAGAGTTATCTGAATGATATAATGCTATAGAAGAAATTTACTATTCTTTCTATACTTGGTCAATGTTTGTAAAGCAGAAATTCTGAAATTATAATATTTTCTTTGTTTTGTTTACCTCATTGATTGTGCCATTGGGTTGACTGCAAGCAGCTCATTGACCTGTTTGAATGAACTGATCTGAGGGGTCATTCTTGGAAGAATTTTATTGACATGTTGTAATGGAATGTCTACAAATTTTTAAATTTATTTTTAGGATGTGTAATATAGAAGTTGTTTATAATATGAAAATGAAAGAAGATTGTTTTTTTATTATTATGAGTTTAAATAACAGTTTTTAATTAATTATTTATTATTTCTAAGAAAACATTACCTTTCATATTATAAAATTGTTCTGATAAAATTTATCAGACATTTCTGATAGCATCAAAACCTTCTAAATATTATGGTCATGACTAAAATTATTGCTTTTTTTTGGCCATTTAGGTTGTGCTGTCTAGAGGTGAATCATAACGAGTCATGTCACCCGGCACACAGCGGTACATAATCGTGATACACAACAAACGGGTGATGTGGCGCGTTCTAATTCGCTTCCGAACGGCATCCACACAATAATTTCACTAAAAATAGGGATCAAAGTTTGACAGGGCAAGCATGGATTTAGAGTCTACACAAGTTAGTTCATATGGTTTAGCTTCGTTAAATCTGACCTTGAGGAATTTCTCTAATTACCACAACTGATGTCCTCAGATTTACCCAAAAGTTTCAGATAATAGCCATGAGACATAATCTGCAATTATTTTGAATTATAATTGATAGAATAACTGCAGAATTGCTATTTCAAGTATCAAATATCTTACCAAATTTAAGTGAGCAGGGGGCAATCTTTACTTCCTTCACTGCAATAATTAATTTAAGAGCTTTGTCCATAGGATTTCTGTTCCCAGAAGTTCTTGTCAGGTACAACTTGTTCTTATGAGCACTTGCTATGCTACACTTGGTAAGCCCTAATGCTAACAATTGTCATAATTTCTTCCAACTTTACCTTAGAGTTTGGAACCATACAGATATATGGCAATTATGCTGTGCTGACTAACTGAAATTTCACTTCCTGCATTGAGAGCTGATATTTGCAAAATATTGGGTTTCTCCCAACCTAAGTTTTAGGTTTTGGATCTGGAAAGGTTTTCAGAATCTGGGAAGCCATTATACAAGAACAAATTGTGTTAAAGCTACAAAGAAGTATGTTCAAAAGAAAGCATTATCCTTATAGAGACTGTACCTGATACAAGTACCAAGAAGCAAAAGCATCTGTAGCAGCGTAGTGAAGTTGGTCCTTTGATAGCTCACTGGCTTCCCAATCCCCCATTCTTATTTTATTCGACTTCAATAACTGTAAGGAAAAATGTAGTTATGGGTCTTAAGGTGATTGTCTGGGCTATAATATAGACAAGAAGTCCAAAAAAAAAGAAGTTTTTCTCATTAAGTTTAAGAACTAGTAAGGATATAATGCTCTAAACATTTTCCCTTTAAAGGATAAAATACGCTAAAACTTAAGGAAAGTAATATATATATATATATATATAAGATTGAAAGATTGATAACAAAGGGATATGCATAAGTAAAAGTGGATTGATAATAGGATGAGTAAGCAGTTGATCCGATCAGTGAGATCCTAATAATAAGCAAATTTCAAGGATTATGAACAATAACTTTCAGAAGATATACTAGCCTTCAATCCTTGTCCAATATACAAATCATACTATATCTACTATATTAATTAACACTTGGACAACGTAAGAGAAGGATTTGATGGTCCTGCTAAACTTTATTTCTTAGATCAAAATGAATCTCTTCAGAAAGAGAATTTAATAATAATAAAATTTGTCATCATCTACTAATTTTTTAATTATTTCGCAATTCGCAATGCTTATTACTTTAAATGACCAAGAAAATAATGGATAATAGACTAAGCATGCTTGTTCAACGTGCAACTGATAGGAAGTGGTTGCTGAAATTAAAAAAAAGCCTTAGCTGAAGGTCTGTTTTTAACAAATTCAGAAAACCAACGACCAAAAACTAGGAATTTACACAAGAATATTTTCTATTGAAATTTTTATGAAAGAAAAGACAAGATACAAGTGGATCTTCAGTCAAAGAGGAAGATTCGGCTTTCCCAAATCACTAGCCGTCGACTAGAGCTCAAATATCCTAAAAACAATCTAAATTCAGCAAACACCACCTACCCCAAACCCTTAAAAAATAACATACTCAAAGCAAACAATAAACAACAAATACCCAAATAGCCTCCCCCAATTCCCTCAAATTTTCTTAATTATTTCTCCCCAAATCAGCCCTCAAATCAACACCCAAATATGTCCTCTTAAATTAGGAACATTTCCAAGTGTAAGTTGTTCTTAGATTTTATTAGTGAGGAGACGTTCTCCGCTCAATGCGAAAAGGATCAAAATTGTCCATTAAATCTTTACAAAATACCAAAACAATCCCTAAATAAATTAAAAAATCATTTTAATCCCTCAAGTCTTTTAAAAAGAATTAAAATAATCTCATGGCGAGACTTTGATTCATCTTTAAAAAGTTGAGGGATCAAAATGAACATTTAATATAGTTGAGGACTATTTTGGTCTTTCATAAAGATTCAAGGGACCATTTTGATCATTTTCTTTTCATCCCATTAATTACAACCAACGGGAAGATACAATCCTACTCAAGGCAAATGTTGTCTACTAAAGGGATGGCCAAGGAAATATCAACCCCTAAGTAGCAATATAAGGTTATAGTAAACCTATGATGTGGGTCCCAGTCCAAACAGTAAGTGACAAAGAGTGTGATGCGAACTTAGCAAGATCAAGTGGAACTTCAGATAATCCGTCCTTATATTTCAAGCCTCCTTAGATTCTATCCATTGAATCTAAGCCTATATTTATAGCAATATAAGGTTATAGTAAACAAAAAGTGGCCTATGTTTCAAGCCTCCTTAGATTCTATAGGAGATCGACAGGGAGACGGCGTGGACTATAGGCTGATGAGAAATAGGTCTTCTAGCATGGATAAAGATAGGAGAGGAGTATGACCAACAACTCAAAGAAGAGAAGGGGAGATACAGAAGTACCACTAGAATTGGAAAAATTGAATTTAATTCAATTGCAAACTTGAATTAAAAACTAGTACATGAGATCTCCTATTTATAGTCTACAGGAGATCATGAACATAAAAAAATGGATGGTGCAATGTTACTACTATCGTGTTATAATTTATAGCATTCTTCTAAGAAAAATAGAGTTCCTCAAATTTTAGCACATGCTTTTGCTTCCTCTAGGCGATCATCCCTTGTGCTCCAATTTTGGCTTCTAAGTTGAAGGAAGTGGTCAGCTTCCTCCTCGTGCCATTGAATGATCACTCATCTTTTCTTTCTAGGTTTTCTAATGTCCTCCTGAAATCTCACACCAAAATCCCTCATTATGGTCAGACACTTCTAGATTTTGGGTTCGTTGACATGTGATCGTCTCATTGCTTGACTTAAATTTGGCTTGGTGATGGTTTTTGGTGATAGTGGTTTGTATGTCTCGTTATTGGATTGATGGCTTGTTGTTAATTCATATTCAATGCCATTAGCTTGCTTTGCTTGTACCTTTCAATTTGCACACCTCAGCACATCTTTTGAGTCTTGTAAGAATCTCTAGGAGTGTAATAGGCAAGTGATATTGTATCTCTGAGATCGTTTTGGATCAAGCGTGCTTGTTTTATATTAAATCAATCATTCATTGGCATTCTACGTTGAGAGAAAGTCATCAACAGCCCGTCATATCAAATCGGTATCAATCCTTAATTTTAAATTTTGCTTCACATACCTTTATACAAACCAGCTGCTACTAATTGTAAAACCTTCGACGGTTAAATTTGCAAATTTAAATGTTAGAAAAAGAATAACATAAACATGAATAGAGATCAATCTCAACACTTGATCATTCAAATGTAGTCCTATTTATTTATTACAAGTATTATCTTGTGTATTACATTTTAGAAAGTTGAGGCTAAACACAATCATGAATAAGTCATTTGAATTACCTGTTTGCATGTAAGCATCTCTATTAAAGAACAAAGTCCCCAATTCTTGGGAGCTCCACCAAGCTTGAAATTTGCATATCTTGACAAATCTACTAACGATGTTAAACAAACATTGTAGTCCCTTGAGATCTTTGTTGCATCATTGGCTATTCCTATTCCAACCTTCGTAAAACCAAAAATAACGGATTGAATCATCTGTGCTAGAATAAATTAACCACTACGCAAAATAGGTTTCTTGTTTTATAGGTGCAAAATTACCTTGAAAGATGAAGAATCCTCCAAGAGTGATTTCAATATAGGGGGTATACCAGAATGAATAATGTGCATAACATAACAATCAGAAGAATCCATGCATATTTGCAATACAGCAGTTTTTCGAGGTGCTGTCCCTGGAAATCTCAAATTATGTTTAAATGAAATAGCTACTCAATTTTCATAAAACTAGTAGATAGTTCAGTCTAAACAATTCTTTGCTTTCCAAAATAAAGGGATAGGATTAGGACTTGGAAGCTTATTTACCAATATACAAAAAAATTCTTATATAAATGAACGAATTCCAATGTTTTTGCATGTTGAATAAATAAATAGAAGATAACTTTCAAAAGAAAAGGCACCATGGAACCAACCTTTTGAGAAAATAGGTTTCCACTCTAAATCAAATCCAAGAGAGATTTCATTTGCATCATGTTTCAACTGTTCAATTTTATCCAAAATCTCTTTTGTTGTTTGCTCCACCTCAGCAGAGGTTTTGCTGTAGACAGTGCGTCCACCAAAAGTAAATACTGGATGCCTTGGTGTTAAATAAGCTGTCAATTTAACAAAATAAATAATTAGACAAGAGCTAATACAACTAGAGTTAGCAAAGTTCAATTATCAAATAAGCATCTAAAGAAGCTCCTTGCAACCAGAGTGTTTTTTGGCATCTAAGATAACTTTAAGGGGGAAAAAGTTAAAATTGTGTTTGGATCTTCTTGTATACTAGCCCAGAAATAGTAGATTTCAGTAATGCAAAAACTGAATATATCAAGATCAATCAAAAGTTCACTGAGGGCCAAACTTGAAAAATTGAAGGATTGATCCAGTATGGATATTTGACCTATTAGATATAAGAAAACTGAACAAATCAAGATCAATCAAAAGTTCACTAACCAAATGACTAGGTGGAGGAAATAAAAAGTTCACTAACCAAATGACTAGGTGGAGCCTATACTACTACTATATACTATACTATAGTAACTATACTACTACTATGACCTGATGATGAAGATGCTACAATCCAGCACGTATATGGTGCTCATAGAGGGAGAAGAAGAGCAATCAGTAGTGCAGCAAACAGCATTGCAAGGCTGCAATCGCTGCAGTATATTCAAAGGCTACCAGAGGATCCAAGTAAATTAGTGCAGTTCTCGTATTTGAAAAATGCACCAGAAGGTGATATTGTTCTCCAGGCTTTAGCTGTTAGTTTTTGGGGTGGGCCCTTGGTAAAGAAGTTTGAAGAAGCGGGCCATGGAGTAGTACACTGGTCAAGGCCATCTGAAGACTTTTCCAGTGGTAGTGAGCATGTTTTTGACCTTGATGGAAGTGTGTACCTGCGGAAATGGATGAAATCTTCAAGCTGGACATCTAGCTCATCAGTTGCCTTCTGGAAGATCTCATCAATTAAACATGGGATCATATTAGCTAAGAATCTTGTTGTGTCTGATCTAAACCTTATAGAACGAGCAGCATTGACATGCAAAGAAAAAAGCCGGAAAGTGGAGAAAACTCAGGCAACACTGGACGCTGCTATGATCAAAGGAATTCCCAGCAATATTGACCTTTTCAAGGTACTCTTTTCTTTTATAACACTGCATAAAAGCATTTTACGTTAAAAATGTGGCAGTTCTGTGTTATAATTCCAAGGAGTGAGCATGCTTCACTATAATTCTAGATGGTTTTAGAACTTATGTGAATGAAAGCTGATATGATATTTGAATAAGAATAATGAGTTGCAATGCAAATCAAAATTTAATGATGGACTAAAAGAATAGGTTTGATCATGATTATAGAGGTTTCATGACATGGAAAAAAATGTTTTTTACTTTTTTTTTGTGAGATTAGAAAGCTTTTATAAAGCTAACTATGACTAATTTATACAAGGCTAATGATGATGATGAGTTACTGTAATCCCCCACTCTTAAAACTAGAGTAATAATATTGTCTGTGATGTGATTCACATTTTTTCCCTATTTTGATGTCATAACAAGTAGATGTTATGATATATTTTGATACTGCAGTATGTTTAAGTTGCGTGAAAAACTTTGAAGTTGCTAATTTCTAGTTTCTATAATATGTTGCTATTTAATACTAAAAAAATATAGTTTGATTTGGCAATAGTATTGTACCTATATGTAGATAAATACGAACGCTAAATTGTGAAAGAATAATAGTGCAAATATTGTCAATCAAGAGGGCATACTAAATAATAATGATAAAAAATTTACAAATTACTAACTTTACATTTTGATATATCATCTACTATACTATACTATATACCAATGTTTAAAATTGCGTATTCGGGTATTGAGGCGTTTTTCATTCGTGAGGCGAGGCGTAAGCCTCATGGCGTTTTGAGGCG